GTTTAGTGAGGTAAGTGACTGGGTTAGAGAGTTTAGTGAGGTAACTGGGTTAGATAGTTTAGTGAGGTAAGTGACTGGGTTAGAGAGTTTAGTGAGGTAAGTGACTGGGGTAGAGAGTTTAGTGAGGTAAGTGACTGGGTTAGAGAGTTTAGTTAGGTAAGTGACTGGGTTAGAGAGTTTAGTGAGGTAAGTGACTGGGTTAGAGAGTTTAGTGAGGTAAGTGACTGGGTTAAAGAGTTTAGTGAGGTAAGTGACTGGGTTAAAGAGTTTAGTGAGGTAACTGGGTTAGAGAGTTTAGTGAGGTAAGTAACTGGGTTAGAGAGTTTAGTGAGGTAACTGGGTTAGAGAGTTTAGTGACTTAATTGACTGGGTTAGAGAGTTTAGTGAGGTAACTGGGTTAGAGAGTTTAGTGAGGTAAGTGACTAGGTTAGAGAGTTTAGTGAGGTAAGTGATTGGGTTAGAGAGTTTAGTGAGGTAAGTGACTGGGTTAGAGAGTTTAGTGAGGTAACTGGGTTAGAGAGTTTAGTGAGGTAAGTGACTAGGTTAGAGAGTTTAGTGAGGTAAGTGATTGGGTTAGAGAGTTTAGTGAGGTAAGTGACTGGGTTAGAGAGTTTAGTGAGGTAAGTGACTGGGTTAGAGAGTTTAGTGAGGTAACTGGGTTAGAGAGTTTAGTGAGGTAAGTGACTAGGTTAGAGAGTTTAGTGAGGTAAGTGATTGGGTTAGAGAGTTTAGTGAGGTAAGTGACTGGGTTAGAGAGTTTAGTGAGGTAAGTGACTGGGTTATAGAGTTTAGTGAGGTAAGTGACTGGGTTAGAGAGTTTAGTGAGGTAAGTGACTGGGTTAGAGAGTTTAGTGAGGTAAGTGACTGGGTTAGAGAGTTTAGTGAGGTAAGTGACTGGGTTAGAGAGTTTAGTGAGGTAAGTGACTGGGTTAGAGAGTTTAGTGAGGTAAGTGACTGGGTTAGAGAGTTTAGTGAGGTAACTGGGTTAGAGAGTTTAGTGAGGTAAGTGACTAGATTAGAGAGTTTAGTGAGGTAACTGGGTTAGAGAGTTTAGTGAGGTAAGTGACTAGGTTAGAGAGTTTAGTGATGTAAGTGATTGGGTTAGAGAGTTTAGTGAGGTAAGTGACTGGGTTAGAGAGTTTAGTGAAGCAAGTGACTGGGTTAGAGAGTTTAGTGAGGTAACTGGGTTAGAGAGTTTAGTGAAGTAAGTAACTGGGTTAGAGAGTTTAGTGAGGTAAGTGACTGGGTTAGAGAGTTTAGTGAGGTAAGTGACTGGGTTAGAGAGTTTAGTTAGGTAACTGGGTTAGAGAGTTTAGTGAGGTAAGTGACTGGGTTAGAGAGTTTAGTGAGGTAAGTGACTGGGTTAGAGAGTTTAGTGAGGTAAGTGACTGGGTTAGAGAGTTTAGTGAGGTAAGTGACTGGGTTAGAGAGTTTAGTGAGGTAAGTGACTGGGTTAGAGAGTTTAGTGAGGTAAGTGACTGGGTTAGAGAGTTTAGTGAGGTAAGTGACTGGGTTAGAGAGTTTAGTGAGGTAACTGGGTTAGAGAGTTTAGTGAGGTAAGTGACTAGGTTAGAGAGTTTAGTGAGGTAAGTGACTGGGTTAGAGAGTTTAGTGAAGCAAGTGACTGGGTTAGAGAGTTTAGTGAGGTAACTGGGTTAGAGAGTTTAGTGAAGTAAGTAACTGGGTTAGAGAGTTTAGTGAGGTAAGTGACTGGGTTAGAGAGTTTAGTGAGGTAAGTGACTGGGTTAGAGAGTTTAGTGAAGCAAGTGACTGGGTTAGAGAGTTTAGTGAGGTAACTGGGTTAGAGAGTTTAGTGAAGTAAGTAACTGGGTTAGAGAGTTTAGTGAGGTAAGTGACTGGGTTAGAGAGTTTAGTGAGGTAAGTGACTGGGTTAGAGAGTTTAGTTAGGTAACTGGGTTAGAGAGTTTAGTGAGGTAAGTGACTGGGTTAGAGAGTTTAGTGACGTAAGTGACTGGGTTAGAGAGTTTAGTGAGGTAAGTGACTGGGTTAGAGAGTTTAGTGAGGTAACTGGGTTAGAGAGTTTAGTGAGGTAAGTGACTAGATTAGAGAGTTTAGTGAGGTAACTGGGTTAGAGAGTTTAGTGAGGTAAGTGACTAGGTTAGAGAGTTTAGTGATGTAAGTGATTGGGTTAGAGAGTTTAGTGAGGTAAGTGACTGGGTTAGAGAGTTTAGTGAAGCAAGTGACTGGGTTAGAGAGTTTAGTGAGGTAACTGGGTTAGAGAGTTTAGTGAAGTAAGTAACTGGGTTAGAGAGTTTAGTGAGGTAAGTGACTGGGTTAGAGAGTTTAGTGAGGTAAGTGACTGGGTTAGAGAGTTTAGTTAGGTAACTGGGTTAGAGAGTTTAGTGAGGTAAGTGACTGGGTTAGAGAGTTTAGTGAGGTAAGTGACTGGGTTAGAGAGTTTAGTGAGGTAAGTGACTGGGTTAGAGAGTTTAGTGAGGTAAGTGACTGGGTTAGAGAGTTTAGTGAGGTAAGTGACTGGGTTAGAGAGTTTAGTGAGGTAAGTGACTGGGTTAGATAGTTTAGTGAGGTAAGTGACTGGGTTAGAGAGTTTAGTGAGGTAACTGGGTTAGAGAGTTTAGTGAGGTAAGTGACTAGGTTAGAGAGTTTAGTGATGTAAGTGATTGGGTTAGAGAGTTTAGTGAGGTAAGTGACTGGGTTAGAGAGTTTAGTGAAGCAAGTGACTGGGTTAGAGAGTTTAGTGAGGTAACTGGGTTAGAGAGTTTAGTGAAGTAAGTAACTGGGTTAGAGAGTTTAGTGAGGTAAGTGACTGGGTTAGAGAGTTTAGTGAGGTAAGTGACTGGGTTAGAGAGTTTAGTTAGGTAACTGGGTTAGAGAGTTTAGTGAGGTAAGTGACTGGGTTAGAGAGTTTAGTGACGTAAGTGACTGGGTTAGAGAGTTTAGTGAGGTAAGTGACTGGGTTAGAGAGTTTATTGAGGTAAGTGACTGGGTTAGAGAGTTTAGTGAGGTAACTGGGTTAGAGAGTTTAGTGAGGTAACTGGGTTAGAGAGTTTAGTGAGGTAACTGGGTTAGAGAGTTTAGTTAGGCAAGTGACTGGGTTAGAGAGTTTAGTTAGGTAAGTGACTGGCTTAGAGAGTTTAGTGAGGTAAGCGACTGGGTTAGAGAGTTTAGTGAGGTAACTAGGTTAGAGAGTTTAGTGAGGTAACTGGGTTAGAGAGTTTAGTGAGGTAAGTGACTGGGTTAGAGAGTTTAGTTAGGTAAGTGACTGGGTTAGAGAGTTTAGTTAGGTAAGTGACTGGGTTAGAGAGTTTAGTGAGGTAACTGGGTTAGAGAGTTTAGTGAGGTAACTGGGTTAGAGAGTTTAGTTAGGCAAGTGACTGGGTTAGAGAGTTTAGTTAGGTAAGTGACTGGGTTAGAGAGTTTAGTGAGGTAAGTGACTGGGTTAGAGAGTTTAGTGAGGTAACTGGGTTAGAGAGTTTAGTGAGGTAAGTGACTGGGTTAGAGAGTTTAGTGAGGTAAGTGACTGGGTTAGAGAGTTTAGTGAGGTAACTGGGTTAGAGAGTTTAGTGAGGTAAGTAACTGGGTTAGAGAGTTTAGTGAGGTAAGTGACTGGATTAGAGAGTTTAGTGAGGTAAGTGACTGGGTTAGAGAGTTTAGTGAGGTAACTGGGTTAGAGAGTTTAGTGAGGTAACTGGGTTAGAGAGTTTAGTGAGGTAAGTGACTGGGTTAGAGAGTTTAGTGAGGTAAGTAACTGGGTTAGAGAGTTTAGTTAGGGAAATGACTGGGTTAGAGAGTTTAGTGAGGTAAGTGACTGGGTTAGAGAGTTTAGTTAGGGAAATGACTGGGTTAGAGAGTTTAGTGAGGTAACTGGGTTAGAGAGTTTAGTGAGGTAAGTGATTGGGTTAAAGAGTTTAGTGAGGTGACTGGGTTAGAGAGTTTAGTGAGGTAAGTGACTGGGTTAGAGAGTTTAGTGAGGTAAGTGACTGGGTTAGAGAGTTTAGTGAGGTAAGTGACTGGGTTAGAGAGTTTAGTGAGGTAAGTGACTGGGTTAGAGAGTTTAGTGAGGTAAGTGACTGGGTTGGAGAGTTTAGTGAGGTAAGTGACTGGGTTAGAGAGTTTAGTGAGGTAAGTGACTGGGTTAGAGAGTTTAGTGAGGTAGGTGACTGGGTTAGAGAGTTTAGTGAGGTAAGTGACTGGGTTAGAGAGTTGAGTGAGGTAAGTGACTGGGTTAGAGAGTTTAGTGAGGTAAGTGACTGGGTTAGAGAGTTTAGTGAGGTAAGTGACTGGGTTAGAGAGTTTATTGAGGTAAGTGACTGGGTTAGAGAGTTTAGTGAGGTAAGTGACTGGGTTAGAGAGTTGAGTGAGGTAAGTGACTGGGTTAGAGAGTTGAGTGAGGTAAGTGACTGGGTTAGAGAGTTTAGTGAGGTAAGTAACTGGGTTAGAGAGTTTAGTGAGGTAAGTGACTGGGTTAGAGAGTTTAGTGAGGTAACTGGGTTAGAGAGTTTAGTGAGGCAAGTGACTGGGTTAGAGAGTTTAGTGAGGTAACTGGGTTAGAGAGTTTAGTGAGGTAAGTGACTGGGTTAGAGAGTTTAGTGAGGTAACTGGGTTAGAGAGTTTAGTGAGGTAAGTGACTGGGTTAGAGAGTTTAGTGAGGTAACTGGGTTAGAGAGTTTAGTGAGGTAAGTGACTGGGTTAGAGAGTTTAGTGAGGTAAGTGACTGGGAGAGTGTGTGCTTTTAATGTTAGCTTGTGTTAAATTATTTAAAATACAGAATGCATGTTGCATGTTTATGTGTGATGTTTTGTTAGGTAAAGTTTAGTTGACTAAAAATACACAAGAGGAGGGTGGGTGTGAGGGGATTGTGGGGGCTGGGGGGTCGTAATGTACCACTTTTTAAATGATGGAAATAGTCAAATTGTTGTGGATTTTTTTTGTGGTGTTTAAAAATCTACTTGTGAAGAGAAACTCCTAAAGATTGAAAGGAAACCGCATGTCTGAGAAAAAAATGGTTTGACACCAACCTTCTGAATCTGTGGCAGCTATCAATGAGAAGACTTTCTCTTCAACAGCTTTCTGTGTAGCACTTTGAGGGCGTCCTAAAATTACAGAAGCAATTCAAATTTCAAACACCAACCATGCAATTTTATTGACACATCTTCCAACACCAAGGATATATAAGTTCAGGTGGTGTCCAACCTCTCCCCCCCCCCCCCACCCCACCCCAAAAAAAAACCTAAAAAATATTTAGGACATTTTTTAAAAATATATTTGCATGTAAGGTGTTCAGTTATTGATATTTCAGAGCTATGTGAATATCTAAGAAATGTGATATATATATATATATATATATATATATATATATATATATATATATATATATATATATATATATATATTTATATATATATATATGTATACATATATAAGCTGGCCGGTAGTGTGTCAGTCGGTCCTTTAGTCATCGCTATACATTTTGGAAACATAAAAATTAACACCACATGCTGTGATTTTACTTTCATCACATTGCCTTATTTGAGGTAATGGAGTAGGGTCTATTTATGTAGCAACTTACATTACTTTGATAGTCGGCAAAGTTTTTACTCTTTTGCATAGGTCAACAAAAGTACAAAAAATATTAAATACACGCACATTGCTAAAACATCAAATGGATCAATGCCAAATAATATTTTCGCATATACTCTTAGAACAAATGGCTTCATTTTAGTAACAGCAGTGTGGAATGTAACTAATCAATTGAAATGTTAAATAATCATGTAAGGGGGGGGGGGGGGAATTTAAAAAGAAATACAACTCATGCTAAATATTGCTAAATTTAAGTAATTCTTTTTTTTTATCCCTACAGTATTGATTATTATGTTAGGGCTCATAATTATAATAGATTATTGTTAAGATTTTTTATATTATTTTCTGATTAGTCTGTAAAGAGTTTTATAGTTGTTTTTTTTTAAATTAATGTTATGATCTCTTAAAATCAGTATTTTTTACAAACTGATATTTAAATTACTTTCTCTGTCTGTCGTCAGTCTGTTGTCACAGATCAAAAAGCTCGAGCAAAATTTCAGGCAAGCCTAACTGACAGATTCGTTTAAGAGCTGGCACGTGGGTCAAGAATTGAAGACAATGCAATATGACATTAAATTTGAATTTAGTAGAGGGCGTAATTAATATTTTATGAATTAATTAAAGTTTTGTCCAAAGTAGTAGGCAGTCTTATCCAACTATTATCCACTATTATATGTGCGTTATCATGTTCATTACTTACGCAATACTTTTTAATCATGCAACTCTATTGTAAATAAAAAAACTTGAAGTACTGAATTTTTTTTCATAAAAAATGTTTTAATAACAAGCATTTATGTATAATGCACTAAAAAGTAGAAAATAAATGGTTTTTTTTATATATATATAATAATACACTACTATTAAAATAACAAATAAAGAAAAGCGCGGGTCTCTTCCTAAATATTAGTAAAGGTATTCGATAGATAATAAATGATTACCTGTGGTGAAGCAGGGGTTAACAGCTAGTATAAATATAGACCTCTATGAATATATATGTATGTGTGTAGATATACATATCCGTATATATATATATATATATATATATATATATATATATATATATATATATATATATATATATATATATATATACATATATATATATATATACATATATATATATATATACATATATATATATATATACATATATATATATATATACATATATATATATATATACATATATATATATATATACATATATATATATATATATATATATATATATATATATATATATATATATATATATATATATATATATATATATATATATATATATATATATATATATATATATATATATATATATATATATATATATACATATATATTTGTATGTATTTAGGTATGAGTATATAAATACATATATATATATATATAGGCATGTGTATATATTTGTGATAAAATGTTTTATGGGTGTATTATTAGCTGCATTCACTATACTGTTATTAAAATGTATCTATTTTTTTCTAAGAATCTACGCCAGAATATTATTTGACATTGATCACTTCAATAGGTTTTAGCAATGTGCATGTATTAAATATTTTCTTTAAGTTTTTTTTTGTTGTTAAATTATGCAAAAGAGTAAAAACTCTGCCAACCATCAAACCATTTTTTTGGCGTTATATAAATAGACCCTACTCTATTACTTGTAATAGGACAATATGATGCAAGTAATGCATGACATGTGGTGTTTCCTTTACATTTCTATAATCTACAGTGATGACTGAATGACACACTACCTACAATTTCAAATTTTATATATCTATATATCTATATCTATATCTATATCTATATATATCTATATATATATATATATATATATATATATATATATATATATATATATATATATATATATATATATATATATATATATATATATATATATATATATATATATACATATGTGTGTGAGTGTGTGTGTGTGTATATATATATATGCCTATAAATATATAAATATGCCTTTATATGTGTGTGTGTGTGTGGGGATACAGGCTGCAAACCTGTGCTTGTCATTGGTGCGAAATTTATCTGATAGCTTCTTAGGCACAACACCATCTCTTTGTTTGAAAACTTGTAAAATACATTTTATTTCATATCTAAAATGCAATAGAGGAAGCAAATAAGGAAAGGATAAATGAACTTCACATAAACCTGCATGATATCATAAACCACACACCCATGATACCATAAACCACACACCCATGACACCACAAACCACATACAGTACAAAGTCAAACCACATACCACCTCCTCCCCAACACTGCACCATATGCCGCCTCACCACACCCACTGATCAACACAGGTCACCCCAACGCACAAACTTCATATTTAAACACACCCCCCACACCATTCATATTTAAACACACACCCCAAACTTCATATTTAAACACACACCCCATAAAATTCATATTTAAACACACCCCACAAACTTCATATTTAAACACACCCCCCACACCATTCATATTTAAACACACACCCCACAAACTTCATATTTAAACACACACCCCACACCGTTCATATTTAAACACACACCCCACAAACTTCATATTTAAACACACACCCCACAAACTTCATATTTAAACACACCCCCCACACCATTCATATTTAAACACACACCCCACAAGCTTTATATTTAAACACACACCCCACACCGTTCATATTTAAACACACACCACAAACTTCATATTTAAACACCCCCCACAAACTTCATATTTAAACACACACCCCACAAACTTCATATTTAAACACACACCCCACAATCTTCATATTTAAACACACACCCCACACCGTTCATATTTAAACACACACCCCACACCGTTCATATTTAAACACACACCCCACAAACTTCATATTTAAACACACACCCCACACTGTTCATATTTAAACACACACACCACAAACTTCATATTTAAACACACACCCCACAAACTTCATATTTAAACACACACCCCACAAACTTCATATTTAAACACACCCCACAAACTTCATATTTAAACACACCCCCCACACCATTCATATTTAAACACACACCCCATAAACTTCATATTTAAACACACCCCACAAACTTCATAATTAAACACACACCCCACAAACTTCATATTTAAACACACACCCCACACCGTTCATATTTAAACACACACCCCAAAAACTTCATATTTAAACACACCCCACAAACTTCATATTTAAACACACCCCCCACACCATTCATATTTAAACACACACCCCACAAACTTCATATTTAAACACACCCCACAAACTTCATATTTAAACACACCCCCCATACCATTCATATTTAAACACACACCCCACAAACTTCATATTTAAACACACCCCACAAACTTCATAATTAAACACACACCCCACAAACTTCATATTTAAACACACACCCCACAATCTTCATATTTAAACACACACCCCACACCATTCATATTTAAACACACACCCCACACCGTTCATATTTAAACACACACCCCACAAACTTCATATTTAAACACACACCCCACAAACTTCATATTTAAACACACACCCCACACCGTTCATATTTAAACACACACCCCACAAACTTCATATTTAAACACACCCCACAAACTTCATAATTAAACACACACCCCACAAACTTCATATTTAAACACACCCCACAAACTTCATATTTAAACACACCCCCCACACCATTCATATTTAAACACACACCCCATAAACTTCATATTTAAACACACCCCACAAACTTCATAATTAAACACACACCCCACAAACTTCATATTTAAACACACACCCCACACTGTTCATATTTAAACACACACACCACATACTTCATATTTAAACACACACCCAACAACCCACATTCCACAGTCCCACACACTTCACATACACCCTCTATATCCTAGAATTCATCAAACTACGTCAAAAACACATTGAGTGAAATGGAATGGAATGGAGTGAAATAAAGTAAAGAGAAATGGAATGAAATAAAGTAAAGAGGAATGGAATGGAGTGAAATAAAGTAAAGAGGAATGGAATGGAGTGAAATAAAGTAAAGAGGAATGGAATGGAGTGAAATAAAGTAAAGAGGAATGGAATGGAGTGAAATAAAGTAAAGAGGAATGGAATGGAGTGAAATAAAGTAAAGAGGAATGGAATGGAGTGAAATAAAGTAAAGAGGAATGGAATGGAGTGAAATAAAGTAAAGAGGAATAGAATGGAGTGAAATAAAGTAAAGAGGAATGGAATGGAGTGAAATAAAGTAGAGGAATGGAATGGAGTGAAATAAAGTAAAGAGGAATGGAATGGAGTTAAATAAAGTAAAGAGGAATGGAATGGAGTGAAATAAAGTAAAGAGGAATGGAATGGAGTGAAATAAAGTAAAGAGGAATGGAATGGAGTGAAATAAAGTAAAGAGGAATGGAATGGAGTGAAATAAAGTAAAGAGGAATGGAATGGAGTGAAATAAAGTAAAGAGGAATAGAATGGAGTGAAATAAAGTAAAGAGGAATGGAATGGAGTGAAATAAAGTAAAGAGGAATGGAATGGAGTGAAATAAAGTAAAGAGGAATGGAATGGAGTGAAATAAAGTAAAGAGGAATGGAATGGAGTGAAATAAAGTAAAGAGGAATGGAATGGAGTGAAATAAAGTAAAGAGGAATGGAATGGAGTGAAATAAAGTAAAGAGGAATGGAATGGAGTGAAATAAAGTAAAGAGGAATGGAATGGAGTGAAATAAAGTAAAGAGGAATGGAATGGAGTGAAATAAAGTAAAGAGGAATGGAATGGAGTGAAATAAAGTAGAGGAATAGAATGGAGTGAAATAAAGTAAAGAGGAATGGAATGGAGTGAAATAAAGTAAAGAGGAATGGAATGGAGTGTGAACAATCGACGTACAACTAACGCTATACTCGCACGGAGTGGGACTGATTTCCGTAAAATGTATTGTGCATCTTATCTTTTTGTTTAAAATACATTTTTCAGAAATTATTTAATCTTTGCATCAAATTACAGAAAGTCAATTCTGTTTTTATTAATAGTTGAAGATAAAACCCTTTTACAGCAATATTTTGGTGTTAAATTATTCTTAACCTTGTTAATTCGATTTTAAAGTAATAGGCAAATGAATAAGAATGGTAACAAATTAACGCATTAATATAATTTTTTAATATATATGCGTTGATGCGTAGATATCTATGTCATACAATACATTTTTATAATGATACTTATCTAGTTTAACAGTATATGGTGAGGTTACTGTAAATTCACATTGTAAAGATCCTTACATGAAAATGAACTTAAACGGTAAAATTAAATTATCCACACATTTCATTCTACACCAACCTGAAGATTAAAATTTTAAGTTTTAAATTTTTTGGGCTTAGTTGAGCAAATTCTTATTTTAAGAAATTTTTTTCTCCTTAAGATTGGATTGTCTAACATTCTATTTCTTGAGTTACTTTTCAACAAAAATCTGAATCTTATACCCCTATAATTAGCTGAAACTTTACCTCTGAAAAATGTCCTACATTTGGCTGAAACTTTACCACTGAAAAATGTCCTACATTTGTCTGAAACTTTACCTCTGAAAAATGTCCTACATTTGGCTCAAACTTTACCTCTGAAAAATGTCCTACATTTGGCTGAAACTTTACCTCTGAAAAATATCCTACATTTGGCTGAAACTTTACCTCTGAAAAATGTCCTACATTTGTCTGAAATTTTACCTCTGAAAATGTCCTACATTTGTCTGAAACTTTACCTCTGAAAAATGTCCTACATTTGTCTGAAACTTTACCTCTGAAAAATGTCCTACATTTGGCTGAAACTTTACCTCTGAAAAATGTCCTACATTTGGCTGAAACTTTACCTCTGAAAAATGTCCTACATTTGTCTGAAACTTTACCTCTGAAAAATGTCCTACATTTGTCTGAAACTTTACCTCTGAAAAATGTCCTACATTTGGCTCAAACTTTACCTCTGAAAAATGTCCTACATTTGGCTGAAACTTTACCTCTGAAAAATGTCCTACATTTGTCTGAAACTTTACCTCTGAAAAATGTCCTACATTTGGCTGAAACTTTACCTCTGAAAAATGTCCTACATTTGGCTGAAACTTTACCTCTGAAAAATGTCCTACATTTGGCTGAAACTTTACCTCTGAAAAATGTCCTACATTTGGCTGAAACTTTACCTCTGAAAAATGTCCTACATTTGTCTGAAACTTTACCTCTGAAAAATGTCCTACATTTGGCTCAAACTTTACCTCTGAAAAATGTCCTACATTTGGCTGAAACTTTACCTCTGAAAAATGTCCTACATTTGGCTGAAACTTTACCTCTGAAAAATGTCCTACATTTGTCTGAAACTTTACCTCTGAAAATGTCCTACATTTGTCTGAAACTTTACCTCTGAAAAATGTCCTACATTTGGCTGAAACTTTACCTCTGAAAAATGTCCTACATTTGTCTGAAACTTTACCTCTGAAAAATTTCCTACATTTGTCTGAAACTTTACCTCTGAAAAATGTCCTACATTTGGCTCAAACTTTACCTCTGAAAAATGTCCTACATTTGGCTGAAACTTTACCTCTGAAAAATGTCCTACATTTGTCTGAAACTTTACCTCTGAAAAATGTCCTACATCTGGCTGAAACTTTACCTCTGAAAAATGTCCTACATTTGGCTCAAACTTTACCTCTGAAAAATGTCCTACATTTGGCTGAAACTTTACCTCTGAAAAATGTCCTACATTTGGCTGAAACTTTACCTCTGAAAAATGTCCTACATTTGTCTGAAACTTTACCTCTGAAAATGTCCTACATTTGTCTGAAACTTTACCTCTGAAAAATGTCCTACATTTGTCTGAAACTTTACCTCTGAAAAATGTCCTACATTTGGCTGAAACTTTACCTCTGAAAAATGTCCTACATTTGGCTGAAACTTTACCTCTGAAAAATGTCCTACATTTGTCTGAAACTTTACCTCTGAAAAATGTCCTACATTTGTCTGAAACTTTACCTCTGAAAAATGTCCTACATTTGGCTCAAACTTTACCTCTGAAAAATGTCCTACATTTGGCTGAAACTTTACCTCTGAAAAATGTCCTACATTTGGCTGAAACTTTACCTCTGAAAAATGTCCTACATTTGGCTGAAACTTTACCTCTGAAAAATGTCCTACATTTGGCTGAAACTTTACCTCTGAAAAATGTCCTACATTTGTCTGAAACTTTACCTCTGAAAAATGTCCTACATTTGGCTGAAACTTTACCTCTGAAAAATGTCCTACATTTGGCTGAAACTTTACCTCTGAAAAATGTCCTACATTTGGCTGAAACTTTACCACTGAAAAATGTCCTACATTTGTCTGAAACTTTACCTCTGAAAAATGTCCTACATTTGGCTGAAACTTTACCTCTGAAAAATGTCCTACATTTGGCTGAAACTTTACCTCTGAAAAATGTCCTACATTTGGCTGAAACTTTACCACTGAAAAATGTCCTACATTTGTCTGAAACTTTACCTCTGAAAAATGTCCTACATTTGGCTGAAACTTTACCTCTGAAAAATGTCCAACATTTGGCTGAAACTTTACCTCTGAAAAATGTCCTACATTTGTCTGAAACTTTACCTCTGAAAAATGTCCTACATTTGTCTGAAACTTTACCTCTGAAAAATGTCCTACATTTGGCTGAAACTTTACCTCTGAAAAATGTCCTACATTTGGCTGAAACTTTACCTCTGAAAAATGTCCTACATTTGGCTGAAACTTTACCTCTGAAAAATGTCCTACATTTGTCTGAAACTTTACTTCTGAAAAATGTCCTACATTTGTCTGAAACTTTACCTCTGAAAAATGTCCTACATTTGGCTCAAACTTTACCTCTGAAAAATGTCCTACATTTGGCTGAAACTTTACCTCTGAAAAATGTCCTACATTTGGCTGAAACTTTACCTCTGAAAAATGTCCTAAATTTGGCTGAAACTTTACCTCTGAAAAATGTCCTACATTTGTCTGAAACTTTACCTCTGAAAAATGTCCTACATTTGGCTCAAACTTTACCTCTGAAAAATGTCCTACATTTGGCTGAAACTTTACCTCTGAAAAATGTCCTACATTTGTCTGAAACTTTACCTCTGAAAAATGTCCTACATTTGGCTGAAACTTTACCTCTGTAAAATGTCCTACATTTGGCTGAATTTTTACCTCTGAAAAATGTCCTACATTTGTCTGAAACTTTACCTCTGAAAAATGTCCTACATTTGTCTGAAACTTTACCTCTGAAAAATGTCCTACATTTGTCTGAAACTTTACCTCTGAAAAATGTCCTACATTTGGCTGAAACTTTACCTCTGAAAAATGTCCTACATTTGGCTGAAACTTTACCTCTGAAAAATGTCCTACATTTGGCTGAAACTTTACCTCTGAAAAATGTCCTACATTTGTCTGAAACTTTACCTCTGAAAAATGTCCTACGTTTGTCTGAAACTTTACCTCTGAAAAATGTCCTACATTTGGCTGAAACTTTACCTCTGAAAAATGTCCTACATTTGGCTGAAACTTTACCTCTGAAAAATGTCCTACATTTGGCTGAAACTTTACCTCTGAAAAATGTCCTACATTTGTCTGAAACTTTACCTCTGAAAAATGTCCTACATTTGTCTGAAACTTTACCTCTGAAAAATGTCCTACGTTTGTCTGAAACTTTACCTCTGAAAAATGTCCTACATTTGGCTGAAACTTTACCTCTGAAAAATGTCCTACATTTGGCTGAAACTTTACCTCTGAAAAATGTCCTACATTTGGCTGAAACTTTACCTCTGAAAGGTTTCCTGACTTGCTCCTCTATCTCATCATCAGATGTGACATTTATTTTAGCAAGGTCAAGCTCCAAAATTCCAGAGTGTTCTAGATTCTCAGTGTCATCTAGCTGAGTCAGATAACATGATCTGGGAATAACCAAGTTTATTGTGTCTAATAACCAAGTTTATTGTGTCTAATAACCAAGTTTATTGTGTCTAATAACCAAGTTTATTGTGTCTAATAACCAAGTTTATTGTGTCTAATAACCAAGTTTATTGTGTCTAATAACCAAGTTAATTGTGTCTAATAACCAAGTTTATTGTGTCTAATAACCAAGTTTATTGTGTCTAATAACCAAGTTAATTGTGTCTAATAACCAAGTTAATTGTGTCTAATAACCAAGTTTATTGTGTCTAATAACCAAGTTTATTGTGTCTAATAACCAAGTTTATTGTGTCTAATAACCAAGTTTATTGTGTCTAATAACCAAGTTAATTGTGTCTAATAACCAAGTTTATTGTGTCTAATAACCAAGTTTATTGTGTCTAATAACCAAGTTTATTGTGTCTAATAACCAAGTTTATTGTGTCTAATAACCAAGTTAATTGTGTCTAATAACTAAGTTTATTGTGTCTAATAACCAAGTTTATTGTGTCTAATAACCAAGTTTATTGTGTCTAATAACCAAGTTTATTGTGTCTAATAACCAAGTTTATTGTGTCTAATAACTAAGTTTATTGTGTCTAATAACCAAGTTAATTGTGTCTAATAACTAAGTTTATTGTGTCTAATAACACTCATCTGAAAATTGCTTTGAGCTAGGGAAAGAACTCTAGTGACCGTGACCCACTTTGATCTAGGGCAACATTTAACTGACCTTGATACCTTAAGATCTTCTACAGAACATTCAAAAAGTTCAGCCATCAGGTGAAGATTTTCTTGTTCCAGTCTTGCCACAACCTCAGAAGCTTTGTTGGTTTCCAAGCGATGAAGAGCCACCTTTAAGATCATACAAGCTGCTAGTAAATATTCCTTTAAGAGCAGTTCAAACTCAATGCCTACCACAATATACGTCAACATTGTAAACAAAATAAAACTGACCTCTTTTCTCAGCCAATCATTGTCGATGACTTCTTGTCTATCTGTTTTGTCAAGCATTGACATGGCCCTCTAACCAAGACATGTACAATATTTTATAACATGTACAATATTTTATAACATGTACAATATTTTATAACATGTACAATATTTTATAACATGTACAATATTTTATAACATGTACAATATTTTATAACATGTACAATATTTTATAACATGTACAATCTTTTATAACATGTGCAATCTTTTGTCAGACATGTACAATTCTTTTATCAATGAGATAAATGACCCGTTGAGGAAGGATACAACGGGAGCTAGGTTGATTGTGTTGTCTCTTTTCTCTAAACCAAAACCAAAAGATTGTACATGTTATAAAAGATTGTACTTGTTATAAAAGATTATATCTATAATAATAGTTTCGCTGTCTGTGTATTTATCTATCTGTCAATAACACTATAGAGAAAACACAAGCAGAGTAAAAACATACATAGTAATTTGAAAAAGGAAACATGACATCACATGGAGCATGTAGTAGAAAATAGTCTCAAGCCGGAGAGTGCACACAGTAATATAAAGTCATTGATTCTCGAGTAAACAATGAATTAAAAAGCCAATTTTGTCTAATCTTAAAAGTGGTTTTCTTGCAGAGTTTCTTTCATGCAATTATTTGGGTAGGGGCAATCCCCCCCCCCCCCCAAAGAACGTTTATGCCCCCCCCCCCCCCCAAAAGAAATATAATCTTTTATAACATGCATAGTCTTCCATAACATGTACCATTGTTTATAATATGCACAATCTTTTATGGGTACAAGGCTAATTACATACCTAATCTATGAAAAGAGAGTTTAAGAAAGAGTAGTTTCCCTTACTTGAGCAGCCAGGTCTTTCTGCTGAGACAAAGCTTCTTGTGTTAGGTTTTCCATCTCAGAGATGGAGCCGTCCTTCTCCCTCACTAAGTGGGCTGTCATCAGAGGGATAGAGGGAGTAGATAAAGGACAACACTGCTAGCATCTTTTTACCACAGTCATTTCCTTTCATTGCAACAATGTTTCAGAAACATTCACCCTTTTTAAAAATAAAGTGGGTGTGATCTCCCATAGACTTTTATATTCTTTTTTAACAGTACCGCCCCAATAAAAATGTTTTTATTAGGCCTATATGATTTTAGTATTTAAATTCTCAAAATAGAGTTCAAGCAAGTAAAAAAAGAACAGTGCATATTGTGTACATAATTGTGCCACCAAAATGTGAACATAATTGCGCCACCAAAATGTGAACATAATTGTGCCACCAAAATGTGAACATAATTGTGCCACCAAAATGCGAACATAATTGTGCCACCAAAATGTGAACATAATTGTGCCACCAAAATGTGAACATAATTGTGCCACCAAAATGTGAACATAATTGTGCCACCAAAATGTGAACATAATTGTGCCACCAAAATGTGAACATAATTGTGCCACCAAAATAAAATCTAAAATATGGCCGCCATCACCATGGCAACGGAGGATTTAACAAAATAAAAAAATATTTTTATGCTTAACCCTTTGAGTACTTAGCCAAAATATTAGACTCGGAAATAAGGAAGTTGGTACTATCAACTGCCCATGCCCTTAAGTTTTTTTACTTTCTCGTATACATAGTATAGAGAAAGTATTGTAATCGTGCGCAAAAATCAAATGAAATTTTGACAGTTTTCAGTTTTACACTTCAGTACTTCATCACACACTGAGTACAGGAGACTTATTTTAATAGGGCGAAAATTCTAAATCCAGATTAATCAAAATTTTGGTGTTTTATGCATATTTGAGTCAGAAAAACTGGGTTTTGCAATTCTGTCCCTGTGTGTGTATGTGTAAACACTATAACTTGAGTACTGTTTCAGCTAGGTTGATGAAATTTCATATATAAGTATTATATCAAATTGTCATTCTGTATCAACTTTTCAGTGATTTCCGATAACCAGAAGTGGGACTTATTCAACTTTTAATTCTTTAAAAGCCTATAACTTGAGCACTGGTTCAGATAAATAAACAAAATTTCACATATAAGTCAAAGATCTAATTTTTTGCCTTCTGTCAAATTTTGAGTAATTTTCTTTGAAAGGGAATAGTAATTTAAGCTATTTCCAATTTAAAAAAAAATGAAAATGAACTTATAAAGTACTAATAATATTCCGCACTATTATACACAGATTGTTTTGGCGTTCACTTGGTGCGCAATTCTTTTTTTCTACGAGATTCTATTTTTAAAAATTTAAGTAATTAAAAATGGATTAAAAATCATGTCTATATCCCGCGTTGTCATTCCCTGTAGTGTTATATAAGAATATTCGAGAAAGTTTATTAAAAATAGATTTGTTAATTATGCTGGTTGTAACCTTAAACAGAGCCTCAAAGTTGAGAGGTTTGCGCACATCCCTGACATTGTGATTAACTCTGACCTTCCATTTCCATGAAGCTGGTTTCTATGTCCCGGATCTCCTGCTCTAAAAGCTTGATGTGCATCTGCTGCTGGTGCTGCCCTGAGTCTCTAAAGGTTCTCCACCAGTTCAAGTCCCTCACAGCATGCGAGACTTCTCTCTCTTTAGCTAGTAATTCATTCTTTAATACTGTAACACATACAATTCTTTCTTTAATTCTGTAACACATACAATTCATTCTTTAATTCTGTAACACATACAATTCTTTCTTTAATTCTGTAACACACTCTTGTGGTAGTGCTGCCCAGTGCTGCCTAGTGCTGCCTAGTGCTGCCCAGTGCTACCTAGTACTGCCTAGTGCTGCCTAGTGCTACCTAGTGCTACCTAGTGCTGCCTAGTGCTGCCTAGTGCTACCTAGTGCTACCTAGTGCTGCCTAGTGCTACCTAGTGCTGCCTAGTGCTGCCTAGTGCTGCCTAGTGCTACCTAGTGCTACCTAGTGCTGCCTAGTGCTACCTAGTGCTACCTAGTGCTACCTAGTGCTAACCATACTTCAGCTTAGCCATCAAATATGTGAGTCCACCTTGAGTGCCATTTAAAAGTAAAATGGGTGCCATAGTGTTGATAGATGAGCCAGGTCATCTGACCACGGTGAGGCTGTATGTGGCCACTGTTACATTTTGATAGTTGAATCAAGTAGTGCCAGCACTGTGCTCTACTTCTAGGGTGCCAGATGACCATTTAGTTATTTAATAGACACCCGTGCCCCTGCTAAAGGCAGCTCTTTCAAACAAATTTAGTCAACCCCAATCCTAACCCTAATCCTAACCTTAACCCCAATCTTAACCCTAATCCTAACCTTAACCCCAATCCTAACCCTAATCCTAACCTTAACCCCAATCCTAACCCTAATCCTAACCTTAACCCCAATCCTAACCCTAATCCTAACCTTAACCCCAATCCTAACCCTAATCCTAACCTTAACCCCAATCCTAACCCTAATCCTAATCTTAACCCCAATCCTAACCCTAACCCCAACCCTAGACCAAGTGACAGAAAGACCTATGGTCAATGAAAATAAAGAAAATGTAGTTACTCTCTATCTCCCTCTCCCTCTCCCTCTGCCTCTGCCATTTGAGCAGCATCTCCTGTGTGACATCCTCTCTAGTTGCACTCTCCTGAGCCAGGCCACCAGCCAGCACTTCACGCTGGCTCTTCAGCAACTGTTGGAGCAACAGACCCTGCTCATCTTTCAGTTTCTCATTCTAAACAAAAATGCAACAACTTTATGGGCAGTACATCTTATGGGCGGTACAGCTTTATGGGCGGTACAGCTTTATGGGTGGTACATCTTATGGGCGGTACAGCTTTATGGGTGGTACATCTTATGGGCGGTACATCTTATGGGCAGTACATCTTATGGGTGGTACATCTTATGGGCGGTACAGCTTTATGGGTGGTACATCTTATGGGCGGTACATCTTATGGGTGGTACATCTTATGGGCGGTACATCTTATGGGTGGTACATCTTATGGGCGTTACCGCTTTATGGATGGTACAGCTTTATGGGTGGTACATCTTATGGGCGGTACATCTTATGGGTGGTACATCTTATGGGCGGTACATCTTATGGGTGGTACATCTTATGGGCGTTACCGCTTTATGGATGGTACAGCTTTATGGGTGGTACATCTTATGGGCAGTACAGCTTTATGGGTGGTACATCTTATGGGCGGTACAGCTTTATGGGTGGTACATCGTATGGGTGGTACATCTTATGGGTGGTACATCTTATGGGTGGTACATCTTATGGGCGGTACATCTTATGGGTGGTACATCTTATGGGCGGTACATCTTATGGGCAGTACAGCTTTATGGGTGGTACATCTTATGGGTGGTACAGCTTTATTGGTGGTACAGCTTTATGGGTGGTACAGCTTTATGGGTGGTACAGCTTTATTGGTGGTACAGCTTTATGGGTGGTACATCTTATGGGTGGTACAGCTTTATGGGTGGTACATCTTATGGGTGGTACATCTTATGGGTGGTACAGCTTTATGGGTGGTACATCTTATGGGCGGTACAGCTTTATGGGTAGTACATCTTATGGGTGGTACATCTTATGGGCGGTACAGCTTTATGGGTGGTACAGCTCTATGGGCGGTACATCTTATGGGTGGTACAGCTTATGGGTGGTACATCTTATGGGCGGTACAGCTTTATGGGTAGTACATCTTATGGGCGGTACAGCTTTATGGGTGGTACATCTTATGGGTGGTACATCTTATGGGTGGTACATCTTATGGGCGGTACAGCTTTATGGGTGGTACATCTTATGGGCGGTACAGCTTTATGGGTGGTACATCTTATGGGTGGTACATCTTATGGGTGGTACATCTTGTGGGTGGTACATCTTATGGGCGGTACAGCTTTATGGGTGTTACTTCTTATGGGCGGTACAGCTTTATGGGTGGTACAGCTTTATGGGTGGTACATCTTATGGGCGGTACATCTTATGGGTGGTACAGCTTTATGGTTGGTACAGCTTTATGGGTGGTACAGCTTTATGGGTGGTACATCTTATGGGTGGTACAGATTATGGGTGGTACATCTTATGGGCGGTACAGCTTTATGGGTGGTACATCTTATGGGCGGTACATCTTATGGGTGGTACAGCTTTATGGGCGGTACATCTTATGGGTGGTACAGCTTTATGGGCGGTACATCTTATGGGTGGTACAGCTTTATGGGAGGTACATCTTATGGGTGGTACATCTTATGGGTGGTACAGCTTTATGGGTGGTACAGCTTTATGGGTGGTACAGCTTTATGGGTGGTGCATCTTATGGGTGGTACATCTTATGGGTGGTACAGCTTTATGGGCAGTACAGCTTTATGGGTGGTACAGCTTTATGGGTGGTACAGCTTTATGGGTGGTACATCTTATGGGTGGTACATCTTATGGGTGGTACAGCTTTATGGGTGGTACAGCTTTATGGGTGGTGCATCTTATGGGTGGTACATCTTATGGGTGGTACAGCTTTATGGGCAGTACAGCTTTATGGGTGGTACAGCTTTATGGGTGGTACAGCTTTGGTGCTTTAAAAATATGTTGACTTACTCGTGCTAAGTTCCTCGCATTTTTTTCCTCCCAGCCACGTATTTCATATGACACATCTTCAAGTTTTTTCTCCACAACATTGATTCTGAAAAAAATATCTTCTTACTTTCAGAGATTTGAACATATCCAACACTTCCAATATCAGAGGTTTAAACATATCTAACTCTTCTGATATAATCTTTCTCTCCTCTAGGTTGTCATGTAATATTCAGACAAAATAAACTTTTAAAACTCTAATCAATAATAATAATTATTCAGTGTAGCTAAACAAATCATGGATATTTCTAAAATTATTGATAAAATAAAAACAACTACAGAAAAATCTAAAGCGTTAGTAATAAAAAAAAAAGTGGGCCTACTGATAAAAATAATTTAAGCTAAAAAAATGTTCATGATTGATAAGATGCCAAAAAAATTACTGATAGGCTAAAATGGCTTCTTGTGGTGTCATCTGAGGGGCCTTGCCACTTTTTTTCTCTTTTCGCTTTCCTTTTTTTCCTTTTTTTCCTTTCTTGCCTTTCTTCCCAGCCATCGTTCAATGCTTAAATCAGCTGCTGAATAAAAGTATATCTTTCAAACTATCCCAGAGAAAAATTGGCTTATTTCATCCACTAGCTTTTTGTTTAGACCTATAGAGTTTCTAAGATATAAACATGTCTTCAAATGCTATTGTATTTAAATTCAAACATTAGAATTTATATTTTTAGAAATGAGTAGATTGTTTTATTATTAAATAATTTGTTTCAAATGCCATATTTATTCTAAATATATATGCTAATATCGTGCGGCGTCAATTCGGCCAATGACGAAACGGCCCCGTCAAAACGACCCAGACAAAACGACCCTGTCAAAATGACCCCGTCAAATGGGCCCCGTCAAAAGGGCTAGCGACATATAGACTCCGTCATATAGGCTCCCGACAAATAGGCTCCCGTCATTTAGGCTACCAACAAATAGGCTCCCGTTATATAGGCTCCCGACAAATAGGCTCCCGTCATTTTGGCTCCCGACATATAGGCTCCCGTCATTTAGTTTTTTCCACAAAACGGCCCCCATCATTACGACTCCCAACAAATAGGCTCCCGCCATTTAGTTTTTCCACAAAACGGCCCCCGTCATTACGACTCCCGACAAATAGGCTAGCGTCATTTTGGCTCACGACAAAAAGGCTCCTATCAATTTGGCTCCAGACAAAAAGACCACTGACAATACCGTTTCTGTAGACTAAGTCGCCCGGCAAAGCGGTCTAATTGAATATGACACCTGCCAGTGGGACCCCTTCATCAACATTCTTTAGAGTTAGCTTATCCAACACTCTTATGTAATACAACCAGGGGCGCAACTACAGTGCCGCCAGACCTTGCAATGTGGGGGGGGGGGGGGCAAGCCCTTTAGGGGCCCACAGCCGACCATAATTAAAAAAAATATATAGTTAAAAAATATAATTTTTTTGCATTTTTAACTTGATGGTTGTTATGTAAAAAGATTACTATAGCTGCGATTGGATTATCTTTTTTCTAAAGACACCACCCCGCGCTCTTGTATTCTTTTTCCGTTTGTTTTTAAACCATTGTGAAATTCGAGTCCTCTTTCTCATACAATCAAACTTATCAAAGATAAGTAAACGTTCAAACCACTTCAATGACTTATTTCCCTTTTTAAAATAGTCAAAAAGGGGTGCACATAAGCTCCTTTAAATAGATTTGCACTAAACAAATTAAAAAGTAATTACTTCTCTTAATAATTATTTTTTATAAAGTACTTACTAAAGAATGACATTGTACAAAAAGGAAATGCATTTAAAATTAATAATATAAATTTAAAAAAAAACATAAAAATAAACAAAACGAGACACCATAACTTATACAAAGCTTTCATGTTTTATATACTTTTGACCGTCTAGGGCAGGAGTCGGCAACCTTTTGAGACGAAAGAGCCAAAAGTTACAATTTACAACATTATCCGATCTAGTACTTACCATGTCGTCATCTCATGTTATTAAAATCAGAGCATTATATATAAAGCCTTGATGAAACTTCACAGAGGACTTCCAATAGAGTTTCAACAAATTGGAAATAGTTATCTGAGGGCAGAATTTCAAGCACACAAATCAGCTCAAGCAGAAAATGCAGAAATATTTGTACGAGAATGGACTAAATACTACGTGACACTGGCAAAACAGTTAGGAGCAGTGAAAAAAAATCAAGAACTTGGGTTGCACCTTTCACCCGAAATGCTAGAAAATTTCTCTGATGAACAGTTAGGGAAACTATTTGAACTTTTTAAGGAAGCAACAAAAACTGCAAACCCTAAAATTATAACTGATAATAAAAAACAACTATAAAAATATATATATATATATATATATATACATATATATATATATATATATATATATATATATATATATATATATATATATATATATATATATATATATATATATATATATATATATATATATATATATATATATATATAATTTAAAATAAATAGCTTTGAATATATGAGATAATCTCATTTGAATTTGTGTTGAGAGGATCTACTTTGTAAGTCAGAGTACTTGCATTTGTTTTGAATAGCTCAAATTTATTTGTGAAAACATCTTTCATTTTATTTATATTAATGCTGAAGTGGTTGTATAGTAGCATTGGTTTCATAACGATATTTTTTTTTCCAGATGTTTCGTAATTAAGTAATTTACCGCTCACAATGTATTCAACAAAAAAAAGTATTTTTTTTTCGAAACAAACCACTTCTTCAAGCAAGACATAGGCTAGATTTTCCTTTCAGTTTTATACTTAGTTGGTTAAGTTTCTTTGTGATATCCACTATGATGTTGAATGTTTCAATTCGGAATGGACAATGTAATATGAAGTAAACTGAGATAGGGAGTAACTAAATATTCTAATAGAGTAGTGAATGTTTTTGTTTATAACTATTGTTATATCGTTTATTACCAAGTGTTGCAGACTAATATTTTTATGAGTTTTGGAAATAAAATAAAATATTATTAATATTTTTGCATGGAGCTGAAGAGCCGCAATTGGACACCAAAAGAGCCGCATGCGGCTCGCGAGCCGCAGGTTGCCGACCCCTGGTCTAGGGATCAAGAGATCTGATAGCAGAGATAAAATAAACTAGATATTCAAAACAGACTATTGCACTTACACACATGACATGTTGTAATTTGCTTAAATTGAAAAAAAAAACAATTATTTTTTCAAAACCCGAACAGGCCAGCAGTGAGAATCCTATGTTCTTATTGTGTGTTGCCCATTTTTTCTAGTTCCGCCATTGAACACAACGTATGCATCTCTTGTTCGGCAGGCCTTATTTTTATATTAGTTTATCTATTATAAAATATAGTATGTTTTAATTTAGGGGTCATCTATCTATGACATCCATAATTGAGTCGATAGGCTCTTCCAACTCAGTGTGTGGGGAGAAGGGTCCACGCTATACCTTCCTACCTGCAGTATGCTTGTAGGTTATCAAAACAAGATGCTGTTATCATGTAAACATCATGTATATCATACATTTACACTTCTGTGCTCGCTTTTAAGCAACAGATCTTTTCTGTTGTAAATTAAACATTATCAAAACTTTAGAATTGGTGGAATTTAGCTGTTAAGGGCTCGATTTGTTTGTGAATTAATGTTGGTTCATGAAAAACAATTTCGTTCGGGCATTCAAAAGAATTTATAGTGGCATTGGAGGTAGGACAAAATGGTTACTTTTATGCCAATAATGGTCATTCATTGGTCTGGAGCCAATATGTCGGGAGTCATTTTGTCAAAAGCCAATATGTCGGGAGCCCAATTGCTTGGAGCCAATATGTCGGGAGCCCATTTGTCGGTAGCCAATATGTCGTGAGCCCATTTGTCGGGAGCCCATTTGTCTTGAGTCCTTATGTCGGGAGCCAATATGTCGGGAGCCGTTTTGTCGGGAGCCAATATGTCCTGAGCCTATTTGTCAGGGGTTAATATGTCGGGAGTCCATTTGTCGGGAGCCTACATGTCGCAAGTCAATATGACAGGAGCCTATTTGACGGGAGCCAATAAGTCGGGGCCCTTTTGACGGGGCTATTTTGACGGGGTCGGTTTGTCGGGAGTCGATTTGACGGGGTCATATTAACGGGGCCGTTTTGACGGGGCCGATTTGTCCCAGGTCGTTTTGACAGGGCACCTGCTAATATATATAACATATATATGATATATAACAAACTAATTACAGCGATGATTATAGATGAGGTTTTGTTTCTTGCTTATCTGTATTTTTATTTTCTGAAATTATTAGACTAATTATTTAGTCTTAAAAGAGGTGCAAGAATAAAACTGTAGAAACAAGAAGAAGGTTGACATGAATATTTAAATCATGCCGGTCATCAAGTGGCTTGGTTAAAATAGTTGTGGACACAAGTCAATAGCTGTAGCTTAAAGTAAAAAAGTAGTCATTTTAGTTTTGGGGGTCCGACCCTGCCTACACCACTGTAGCCGTTATTTGGACACGGCATTAAGTATTTACACACTCATATAACCTGTATTAAAGTTATACTTTCTATGTTTATTTGATTTTTCTTGTGGATTTGCTCATATTTTGTTGTGTTTTATAGTGTTTTTTAAAATAGTTTTGTGGATTTGATAGTGTTAACTCCTTGTATTTCTAATACACCATATTCATTTCTATACACAAAATAATTTAACATTTTATAAACAACATAAGACGTCGTGGTAGAGTGGAGAACGTTGTGCCTCCCCAATCTAGGAAGTTAACGGTTCTAAGCCTAACTAATGGAGGATTTCCCTTTGCTTGTTCCTGGTAGATCTTAAACAGTTTTGTCAGAGAAGATTTGTATTCAACTAAGTTTCTAGTTCTGTCTCGGTAATTGCTTTGTATTGTTTTTTTTTTTAAATTGTTGTTTTTATAGATTCTAACTAGATCTAGATCTATATATATATTCTCCGGATTTAGATTTTTAATAAAAATTTGGCAACAGATTGTGTGTTGCCTATCAAAGACGCTTATTCAAAAATTTTAGGAGGGTGACCTTCTTTGTTAACATTACTTTTTATGATCATTCTCATCCACTTCAATTATTTTTATCTTACTCTTTTACTGATATCATAAGCTTGATCTTAGTGAATTTTCATTAAAAAATACCTGCTATTTAAAAAGTTACAGAGATTTTAGTTCGCATCCAAAAAAGTAGGGAAGCAAAAAATTGAGAAAACCCCATAGTAAAAAAACCCGAAAATTAAATACGTTAAAAATTCATAACTCCGTAACCGTTTGAGCTAAAATTAAAATAAAAGTATCTTTGTTCTTGTCTAAATGAGCTCTATAAACTGGTGCTACTAGTAGTACTACATTATTTATTTTTTTAAAATTGAAATTTCATCCAAGTCCCTAGCCTAGATCTATTTATTATATAGATTTAGATCTAGTAGATCTAGATCTAGAATCTAGATCTAGAATTCTAGAATCTAGAGATCTAGAATTAGATCTAGATTCTAGAATCTAGATCTAGATTCTAGAATCTAGCCTAATTTTATAATAATTTATAAATTAAAATCAGCATGGTTTTTTAAATATTTTAAATGATTGAATTATCACATAGATCTAGATCTAGATCTAGGCATAAACAAACCTTGACTATAAAATGTATTGATGTTTTAATAACTTCATTTTAAAATGTTATTTCTTTCTAGATCTAGATCTATACTTTTTTGCTTGTGACGGCCATTTTGGTAACCAAGTAAGCTATTGACTACTTGAAGTTGGTAAAAAGCGAAATGCGAAACAAAGAATAAATTAAGTTTACCGCACGTTAAAATAAATCTAACGAGCCGTTACGTTAAAAACTTAAAATTCTGACGATAATTACTGAACTTTTTAGGTTAAGTTGATAGTGTCATGAGCAGGGTTTCCTTTTGACATTTTAATTTTTTCCTGAAGGGGGGGGGGGGGGGATAACACTGCATGGTTAGTCTATTTTTTTTCTATTACGTCAGGGGTCTCCAAACTTTTCAGTCCGAGGGCCGCATTAACTATCAAATTTCAGTTCGGGGGCCAGTTTCTTCCAGGCATGTCTTTGATTTTTCTGCGCAAAGTTCCTCATCATCACCAATAAAATATTTTTCCTTGGACAAAAAGATCTCCTCGGGCCGGATGAGAGGACTTCGCGGCCGGCCCGCGGGCCGTAGTTTGGAGACCCCTGTAATTACGTCATTGACACCCCCCTGGCACACTCTTCTTAGAGATGCATGAAAAATATGTTTAAAACTCTTTGCACGGATTATTCTCAGTGAAGTGCCCGCAAGCAATCTAGCTCAGAAATATATTGTTTTTTGTGGGAAGGGCCTGATACTTGGAAAGGTATATATTTTCTATATTATTCTCCCCTCCCCCCCCCCCCCCCCCCATTTTTTTCGCGAGTGAATGGATAAACCGCTAAAAACATGGTGGACGGCCGAGATTACAAGAACTTAAAAAATTGTAAACAGGTTTTCTATATTTAGAACTAGTGTAAACGTCTTAAGTCGATGCTATCTAATCCAACACACAGAGACAAAATTCTATACGGGTTTCTACAACACGTTACGCACATTGTATTATTAGACGATGAAATTGTTTTCTAAATTTGTGTTATTTTAAGTTGTTTAGGTGCGTGTTGTCCACATTACCGATCCGGGCGTCACATTTTCCGGGTGTGGGGGGGGGGGGGCGGGGGCGGGTGCCACTCCTGATTCGGTTTAGTCATAGCATATAGAAACCCGACTCATGTTAAAAAGAATGTGGGTGATCACACTTGAAGCTCGGGCCACTCACCAGGGCGCCGTGCGCCGTGCCTGTTGCAGCTTGACAATTGAATCAAGTACACTTGACCCCTTTGTTGGTGACAACGAATCAATGTACCTCATGTGCAGAGGTAGACACCCAACATTACGACCCTAGTTCGTTTTAGTTATTAATTTCATTAAATCTCTATGTCCGCAGTGAAAGTCACACTTTAAAATGACATTTATAAAATTCAAGCGTACCGTGTTTTAAAAGAAAAGTTGTTATTAAAAAAAAGAGTTCTAAAACATATTTTCAGTATGGAAACTTTAGTTACATCTACGTATTTTACACAAACACATATCATATTTACAAGCTTTTATTTAACTTGCTTCCTGTGTTTTGTGCTTGATTCGTCATCGATCGAAACGGCCGAGCGAAATTTCGATCATTTATTACCAACCGATTTCTCTTAAACTTGGCACGTAGGTCAAAACCAGACGACAATGCAATCTGATTTAAAATTTGACATAATAGGATACTTAATTTACTTTTTAAAAATTAATTAAAATTTCCTAAATAGGGGTCATCCATTAATGACGACAAGCTTTTTTTGACAATTTTAACCTTCCCCCCTCCCCTACGTCAAACATCGTCACAAAAAGCCAGACCCCCCCCCCTCCCTTAAAAATGTCGTCACATCTCAGCCTACAACCCCCCTCAAAATTGCAGTTGAATTTTTTTTTAAAACATCGATATTTTTCCAAAATCTTGTCTGAACTCTGTCAAAATACAAAATAGAGTATTTTAATCAATTCCTATTACAATTTATTAAAACGGGTTTCTAAAACGCGAAATAACGGCTACAATTCTTTTTCTAACATTGTTTTTTTTATAATGCAAAAGTGTGACGTCGCACCTCCCCCTCATCACACACCGTCACAAAATTACGCCCCCCCCCCTCCCCCCTACGAGTGTGACGTCATTTATGGACGACCCCATAAAGTACTATTTACCGCGCTATTTAAGACGCATTTTCATGTTTTTTTGGTGCGCAACAGTTTTTAGTTATGGAACTCTATTGTATTAAAAAATTTAAAGTACTGAAAATAAACCGGGAGTGATCTCCCCTCAACTTTCTCGAATATTCCTATTTAAAACAACAGGGGATGGCAACTCGGGAAATAGACATGATTTTAATCCATTTTTAATTACTTAAACTTTTTAAAATATAATAGAGTCTCGTAGAAATAAACCGGGAGTGATCTCCCCTAAACTTTCTCGAATATTCTTATATAAAACAACAGGGGATGGGAACTCGGGCTATTGACATGATTTTTAATCCATTTTAAATACTTAAAGTTTTAAAAATAGAATAAAATCTCGTAGACAAAATAATTGCACACCAAGTGAACTAGTGAACGCCAAATAAAAAAGTGCACAATAGCGCGCAATATTATTAGTACTTTAAAAATTTACATTAGTTTTTTGAGAAATCGGAAGTAGCGTAAATTACTACTTCCGGTCAACGGAAATTACTCAAAATTTAACAGAAGGTAGAGAATTAGATCTTTTACTTACATGTGAAATTTCATTTATCTATCTGAAATAGTACTCAAGTTATAGGCTTTTGAAAAATTCAAAGTAGGAAAAGTACCACTTCCGGTTATCGGAAATCGCTCAAAAGTTGATACGGATCTACGATTTTGATAAAATACTTATATATGAAATTTCATCAACCTAGCTATAACGGTACTCAAGTAATCGTGTTTACACACGGACACACACAGAGACACACAGACATACGGACAGAATTGCAAAGCTCAGTTTTTCAGACTGGATTACGCATAAAACCTCTTAATTTTGATAAATCTGGATTGATAATTTTTGCCCGATTAAAATAAGTCCTCTATACTTCGGATGTGATGAAGGACTGAGGTGTAATACGGTGAAAATTGTTAAAATTTCAAGTGATTTTTGTGCACGATTACAATACTTTCTCTATACTTCGTATATACGAGAAAGTAAAAAAGTGAACGCAAAACAAAATGTGTATAATAGTGCGGAATATTATTAGTACTTTATAAATACACATGCGATTTTTGAGAAATCGGAAATAGTGAAAAATAACTACTTCAGGCCAACGGAAATTACTCAAAACTTGACAGCAGAGAATTAGATCTTTTACTTACATGTGAAATTTCATTTATCTATCTGAAATCCGGTTATCGGAAACCGCTCTAAAGTTGATACTGATCTACGATTTTGATACAATACTTATATATGAAATTTCATCAACCTAGCTGTAACGGTACACACACACACATACACACACAGACACACGGACAAGATTACAAAACTATGATTTTCCAACTCATGGAGGTGTAAAACTTCGAGATTTACAAAAGTAAAAAATGTATTGAAAAGACGTTTCAATTACGAATTCTTACTGATTTTTTGGAAAATTGGAAATAACATTAATTAAGTCACCAAACATCACTCAAAATTTGACAAATTTCTAACTGAAATGGTACTCAAGTTATCAGTATTTTTAAAAGAAGAACTAGAGTAAAGTACTACTTCCGGTTATCGAATGTCCCTTAAAAATGAAACTAATAGCTGAATCCAGTTATAAGATCATATATTTGTCTGCGAAAGCGAAATAGTAATCTAGTCACCGCGTTTCGACGGAAATTGTGTAAAGGAAAAGCTCCGAAAATCGAACAAAAGTGGAAGAAAAAAAAACCTGCCCATACAAACTAAAACTTACAAATGTAATGTCATTCAACTAATTTAACTGGTACTCAAGTTATCAGCATTTGAGAAACCAAAGTAGAGTTTACAGAGTAACCAGAGTTTCTTCCAGGCATCTCTTCGGGGGGGTCAAAGCCCCCCCGAAAAATTTTTACCGCCCCCCCCCCCCCGAACGAAAATATATCCTTTTAACAGTGTCCGCCCCCCCCCCCCGAAGAAAGTTTACCGCCCCCCCCGAAAATTTCAAGTGCCCCCCCCCCCCCCCCCCGGAGAAAAAAGTCTGGAAGAAACACTGAGAGTAACACACCTACATTGAAACACACAGAGAGACAGACAATATTGTAAGTTCATTTTTTCCAAGTCAGGGAGGTGTAAAATGTCGAGATTTGTCAAAATCTCTATTTCGAAATTTTTCACAATTACAATAGACTTACACATAGTTTCGTATTTTATACAGCTATTTATTTCTCTCGAGATAATTTTTCGGAAGAAGAAAAGGCATGGAGAGTTTGTTGCCAGTTTATGCAGGTGAAAGCTTTCAACAAAAAAAAAACTGAACAAATTATCGGGGATGTGTACAATGTCGGGCAATTAAAGACTCTTTTAATGGGCGCCCTAATGAGGCAGCAACAAACACATCGAGTGAACGGTGTCATCAAGATTAGACACTTCTCGTGCACGGCGTCCAGAGAAAAACATGGGCGGAAGGGGTGGGAAGGGGCGCACAGACACCACCGCTACACCACCTGATTCTCGTGCAACCCGCAAGTCGCCATTTGCGAGGGGAACTCATTCATGATGGACAGACAACTCTTATCGCTAGAAGACAATGTCAGCAACTTGCGAGCATCGCATGATCGCCGTTCAAAAGATTTCTCGTTCGCCCGATCACCGGCAGGGTAAACAGTATTAGCATTGAATATTTGAAGCGACCGCCTCGCCTAATCAGTTCTCCGCCATCTCAAGACTTAATGAGAGCATGGAAATTGCCATATGAACATATTGAGGCGTGATAGCTTTATTTGGAGGCCATCACCATGTCCGATGTCGTCAGTCTATTTGAACTTCCATTCATGACACTGATCAATAGAAATCTCTTTTAATAACTCGATAGTCGGCTAGATGGAAAAAATATTTCCAAGGAAAATAAATTACTGACAGTGAGACAAGATGGTTGGTATCGCTAATTGTTAGCAGCGAGATCAGAAGGTTGGCAATTGGAGTAGATGGTTGGTAACGGAGTTAAATGGTTGGCAAT